ACTAAGGTTTTTTTTTTCTTTGGCCTTTTAACTTTAATTAGTGTGTATAGTGTGTGTTGCTGTATATGTGAGAGCAAACTCTTTATTACTTGAACTTCACTTTTACCTTTTTTCTTTTGGTTTAGCGACACATTGTATTTTGTGAATACTTTCAATCAAAATATTTATTCATGTAAGGAAAATTGAATAATTGTTAGAAAGGTAGTGTGGTAAAAGACCCGTTCTTATTATGTATTCATTAGTAAAATAATTCACCGAACGAATGTCCTTTAATTAATTGATAGATATTATTAATTTTTCATATGCATAATATCAATTCTCAATTACGCATATGAAAAATGAGAAACGGCTGATTTATGCGAAATTCTCAATCATAAAGTCGTGTCCCGAAATTATATATTGTCCACTTTTTAAACTGGACAATATAAAATTTTGGGATGGAGGTACTATATAACTTAGGAAACAATTCTTAGAAATGTAAAGAATTAATTAATAACTAGAATCTACAATATTAAATTTAATTAGTAAACAAAGCAAACAATATCAACCCTCTCCCCCAAAAAAAAGAATGATATCACCAATTGCGGAATTTATTTACATAAAGAAGATATCTAGAATGCATTGAAAATATAATTGAACAACAATTATTAGCCCAAAATTCCTTTAATGTATGGAAAAAAAATGAAGCCTTTTACTTTAAATGACAAAATGTCAAAACATCAAAAGCATCTCTATTCATCAATAATCATACGTTACTCACAATTGTAGGAACCTATATTCATCAATATTGTAGTACAAAATACATCAATCATCTTTTACTAATTGGCAACAAACTACCAAAACAACCGTAATCAACGATTGTTCATTACATAAAAATAAATATGCATTACAAATGGTAGTAACAATCATCATGAAAACTATAATATGTAATCAATTCGATCATATTACCTTCTAAGGATTCAGGAACCCAATCATCAATTTCAACTAAAGCTCTATCATGACTAACAACAATTGCTGAAGAAACATGATCAACATCATCGATTTTTTCTACCCCATATGTATTCAACGAATCTTCCAGGGCTGCAACATCTTCTTCAACAATATCCGCAACACCTTCATCATCATAATCCCAACCATCATCATCGGTATCTATTCTATTGTTTAAATATATATCTTCCATCGTGAAAAATATGAGGATTGAAGAGAATTCTGAATGATGCAAAACTTTATCAATATTGTATAATTGTTTAATGACATTCGTTAAGGATAATGGGAATCAAAATTAACCGTTTAAATTTAAAATCAATGCGAGAATCCAATTTCAGTGATCACGTAATTAAACTGCTGATTTGGATCATTACTGCGCGTGTGTATAATTTTTTCCGGAAACAATATACTCCACTTTTTGTCCCCTGTGTGTGTTACACGCACCTCCTGGGTATACCTTGCAAGGTATACCTGGGAGTTTGAATGCAAGGTATACCCAGGAGTTTGATATAATTTGCCGCCCCCCCCCCCAACAACTCCCCCAAGAAATTGAATAATATCGCTAATTGCGGAATTAATTTACATAAAGAGAAAATATATAGATGCCCTTGAAAATTGAATCAAATAATTATTAGTCCCAGACTCCCTTTAATGTATACGGAAAAAAAATGAAGCCTTTTACTTTAAACGGCAAAATGTTAAAACATTTAAGAGACTGCCCACATGCAGTTCACTCATCTCCCGCCATTTCCACTTTTTCCAGCTTTGTTAACTTCGGTCATTATAAATACCACAGCCAAATAAGAAATTTTTGACACTATCGATGAACAAATCTTCTTGGAAGATAGAGATGAGGTGATGGAAACTTAGCTTTCTGCAAAACCTTTTATTCCTGCTTTGAGGGCCTGAGAAATGTGTATATATAGAAATCCTTTGAAAAGAATTCTTGTTTTCCAAAGAGTTTTTGCTTTTTTTGGTTCTTTCTTTCTTCCTTCTGTTCTTTTTCACTGGACTGATTTGGGGTTTCTTAGTACAAATCGATATTAATTTGATTTTTTTTATCAGGGTTTCCTTTTGAGGGAAGACAAGTTGCTGTTGGATTCTTCCCCATTCTGTGGATCTTCTGGATAGAGAAGGAAACATTGTTTTGCACATGCAGCACCTGGACCAGCTGCTGCTTCGCTTTCTGTAACATTGTTTTGCACATGTAGCACCTGGACCTGTTGCTGCTTCTCTTTAGGTTGGTAGAGAAGGAAACATTGTTTGCCCGGGAATGGCCGGCTAAGCGTCCAGTTGTTGAGCTCCAGTGCAGCCGGGAGTGGCCAATCGTCTCCGCTGCCACATCGGGGAATGATTGGTACCTTTGTGTCCAGATCTGCCTGAAACACCACTGATGTGATCCTTCCTATCTTGTCCTTGTGCTCCACTTTCTTCATTGCGTTACCCGGGTGATCGTAGCTTACAGCGAAAAATTACTTATATGTATCTAATAAAATTACTGAAGAAGAAAATAGTTTTAGGGTTTCAATTCTCCCCAAAACTAATTCTTTCGCGCTTCAAAAACGCGAAAAATGGCAAAATCGCGTTTTCAAAACGCTAAAAGAAGATTTTCGCGTTTCAGAAACGCTAAACATAGGTTATATTAATTAATTTAACTTAATCGTAAGTAATTAATGGTAAAAAATTTAATTAAATAAAGTTTCGCGTTTTCAAAGTGCGAAAAAATAAAAAAGATTATTTTTCGCGTTTTCAAAGCGCGAAAACAATAAAAAAATATTTTATTTAAATAAAAAAAGGAAATTGTAATAAAAATTCAAGTAATTTGCATAGTTTAAAAAATTGTAAGCAAATTTACTTCGAAAAATTATCAAATTTTAATAATGAAATTAAAGGAAAATTTTTAAATTATAATTCATAATCATTAAATTTTGAATAGAGCTATAAAGAAGAAAATTAATAATAGAAAAATTATATTGATAATTTTAATAATAAGAAAATTACATTTTGATATGAATATAATAATATAACTGATACTCATTAAATTAAATAGAGCTATACTAAATATAAATTAATAAAATTATGATATAATTATTATAATTTATAAAATTTTAAAAAATTAAATTAAAAAATTAATAATTATTTTATAAAATAATTTGATATGAAAAATGTTCAGTAAAGATAAATGACGTAATTTTATGGATTTATATTAATTAGATATAATTTAATTTACAAATTGTTTATATTAATTATGACGGTTTCAATATAAGAGAAAAGCTTAAAATATGAATAAATTTTAAGAAATATTTATTATAATTTACCAACGCTTAAGATGAAGCAAGTATTTTCTGTTCTTCGGAAACCTCACAGGGGAGACAGCAAAAATGTCGAAGCGAGGACGCGGAGGATCGGCGGGTAACAAGTTCAGGATGTCTCTGGGTCTTCCAGTGGTTGCGACGGTGAATTGCGCTGACAACACTAGGGTAAAGAACCTCTACATCATTTCAGTGAAGGGAATGAAGGGTAGGCTCAACCGTCTCCCTACCGCTTCCGTCGGTGACATGGTTATGGCCACCGTCGAAGGGTAAGCCCGATCTCGGGAAGAAGGTCATGCATGTAGTCATTGTCCGCAACATGCAAGCCATGGCGCCGAAAGGACGGTGTCTACATGTACTTTGAAGATAATGCTGGAGTGATTGTTAATCCCAAGGGAAAAATGAAAGGTTCTGCAATTAGTGGTCCCATTGGAAAGGAGTGTGATGATCTTTGGCCTAGGATTGCAAGTGCTACTAATGCGATTGTTTAATGCACGGCATCTTAATTCTGAAGAGAACTTTATTTTACGGAATGTTTGTTTTAGGTATCTGGTACTATTCTTGTGTAGATGTGGTAATTTTAATAGACGGTTGGTATGTAAGAGCTAAGAATTATATCTTTTATTTGGATAAACTAAATACTTTGGTGTTTGTTTTTTTTTTAAAAAAAGATGAAGCAACTATTAATTATTAAAAAAATATAAGAAAGTTTGAAGATGTATTTAGATTTGATCGGCGAAGATGTGTTTTATAAATATTAATTATTGTATTTACGATGCAGGTGAAATAGGCATAAAAAAATGATTAATTTGACTAGTTTAAAACGTTATAGGGAAATTGACTTCAAAAAATTATTAAATTTGAATAATGGTAACAGAAAATTTGAAAATTATAACTGTTAATCATTAAATTTTGAATAGAGCTATAAAGAGGAAAATTATATTGATAATTTTAATAATACGAAAATTAAATTTTGAATAAGAATATAAATTATAATTGATACTCATTAAATAAAATAGAGCTATACTAAATATAAATTATTAAAAGTATGATATAGTTATTATAATGTATTAATTTTTTAAAACATTATATAAAAAAAATTAATAATGATTATATTAAAAATTTGTATTAAAAATGTAATCATTATTTTAAAAAATAATTTTATATGAAAAATTTTCAATAATGATAATGACGTAATTTTATGGATTTAATGAGATGTAATTTAATTTACAAATTAATTTTATTAATTATGATGGTTTTAATATAAGAAAAAGCTTAAAATAAGAATAAATTTTATTAAATATTTATTTTAATTTACCAACACTTAAGATGAAGCAACTATTAATTATGAAAAAATATAAGAAAGTTTAAATATGTGTTTCGATTTGATCGGCGAAGATGTGTTTTATAAATATTAATTATTGTATTTACGATGCGAGTGAAATCAAACTATTAAGAATATTAATACAAGTCATAACAAAATACTACAAGTCATAACAAAAGGTTAAAAAAATAAAACAAGTCATAACAAAAGGAAAGAAAACGAAATGAACAAAAGGGAAAAAAATACAAGTCTAATAATACTACATAAGAAGTCTATTACCCTACTTCTTCTTGGGCTTTTAGCCCGAAAAGGCTATAAGTCAATCTATCGGGCTCCTTCGTCACTCTCGCCTTTACTCACGACCAACGGTGGAGTCCCTAGAGTCGACTCGATCCCTGCTCCTCATGGCGCTGATAACCCTGACCCTCAAACTGATCATCCTGGTCTGCATCCTCAGCCTCATCCTCATCCTCATCCTCAGCCTCATCCTCAGCGTCATCCTCACCCTGACTCTCACGCTCACCCTCAGCTGGGTTATCACTGATGCTTGACCGCAACACCTCGAACATACTCGAAAGAAAGTTACTCGTGTAATGTATCGACTGGCCATCTAGCGAACTCTGCTGAAACCCAGAAAAGTCAATAAAAGAATCTCCAAACTGACGCTGAGAAGTCTGAGGGGAGGAAAACTGAGTGAAGGAAAAATTGATCTTGGTGGGAGACATAATCGGACGGTAAAACGCTGATGGGTCGGCGAAGAATGATGTGGAGACTGATGGGATGAATGATGTGGAGACTGATGGGCTGAATGCTGTCGAGAATGGAGTGGAGACTGATGTGGAGAATGATGGGATGAACCGCCAGTGAAGGGAATATGAGACTGCTCATCTTTGGGAGGACTGATGTGGCTGAGATGTTGTGATTGTCTCTTGCCCCCACGCCCACGCCGAGACTGCGCGCGAACGCCTCGGAGGTCCAGGTGGTGGATGTTCTTGGGTCGGGTCTACAGTGCAAGTTCTTGACTCAAAATGTCATGAACCTCAACATGCCTATCGAGATCGTGCCGTACAACATTTGTTGCATTGACGGACAACGCCCGCTCAGCAACCTGGGCAATCTCGCCTAAGCGATCATAACCAAAGGAGTCCGCGTCGAAAGTACGCTGGCCTATAATACTCAGACTACGAACATCCTCCATCAATGTGGCCTGAAATTTTTATTAGAAAGAATCATAAATCGACAACAGTGTTAATAAAAAGAACCAAATGGACTGTAGGCGAAATACTCACCATGAGGCGCAAGGTCTCTGCAGAACCGTGAAAACCCCTCGCATTTTCAGAGTCCGTCGGATCCGTAACATACTTCACAGTAACCTGATGGTACCACAAGAGATACTCCGGATCTGCGGAAGGCTCGCCAACATAAAGATCATCAGTCCCCACAACTTGGCCGTGGCGATCATTCCAAACCTGGAGATATATCCCTAGTTGTTGTAACCATCTCCTATCGGATCCTCCAAACGGCTTCCTCTTGAGCAGGCTAGTAATTTCCGCCGCAGTGAGAAGTAATGCGTCGCCGGGTATCCGCTGGTGATAACCAAATTGGCGAAATACCCTACTGGGGTTGTGTGGCGCAACGACATCACCGCAGATGAGCCATGTCCGAGATCGCCATATGCCTGTCCCCACAAGACAAACCACAGCAATACGACCCAAAAGAGTCGTGTACGGCATCCAGACAAACTGCAATGGTAATTAAGTAAGAGACGTGTAATTAAAAGTTCGACACCGTTAAAAAAAACGAATAAAACATAAGTTATACTAATTGAATAGAATACTAACATCAGACTCTGCGAGAACTGCAAGCCGATCCCGACGCGCCAAATTGAACCGCGTGATACCTTGAACTTTTTTCTCGCGGGACCACCTGCACGGAGAAAGTAACATTAAATTGAGACATGACAGTACAAATCAAAATGTCAAAATTTACGAAGGTTTGATGTATAAGATTACCTCGTGCCCAATGGACAATCAGATAGATCGAGATCCCCACCCAAGATCTTGGGTGAACCGTCAAAATCCGCTCCCGTGCCCGAGCTAATTCGAATGAAGAAATCATTAGCTAAAATCACCAATAATAATGGGAGAATATAAATTGAAACTAGAGAGAAATGAAAAGATAAAATACCGAAGAAGAATCACACACCGGTAATAGCCTTGGCGAGCGGCGAGAGATGACTGGACATGCTTTGCGGTACAAGTAACATAGTGCCGCACTACCCCAATCGTACTCGAGCAAATCTCGGGAGTATGAAGAAAATGCACAAGATCGAGAGGAAAACTGTTTCTCGTAGTGTTTGAGAACAGTAATCCGCCAACGAGCCATCCAACAAAACAACGGGCTCGCTGTAGGTGTGCATCGTCAGGGGACAGGTCCGTCAAAGGATTATTCTCTATGTGAGTCTTTATTTCAGTGATGGAAACACTCGTCAATCTAGACTCCTCTGTCTGGAACCTAAATCCAAACATCCTCTCCAAATAGGCTGCCCAACCACCATCAGGCATGGTGTGATGTCCTGTAAGTGGACGTCCATCAACCCGAAGGCCCAAAAGAACCTCGACGTCCTGGAGTGTGATAGTAGCCTCCCCAAAAGGTAAATGAAATGTATGGGTCTCTGGGCGCCATCGCTCCACAAGAGCTGTAAGCAGGGCATGGTCACATCTGATGGACCCAACTCTAGAGAACGGTCCAAAACCAAATTTCTCAATATATTCCTTTGTCAACCTCGGTGCATCTTTTATTAATTTCCACGCGGCGCTATCTACGCGCCTGGGCTCCGAAATCCCTATATCATACTGTGCACCATGGAATATATTGTGTGACCTATGGGCGTTTTGGAGAAACAACAAACTACTGTCTCTGGGTCCCTGCCGTAGCTTCTTTGAGGTAGATTGGGAGGAAGAAGATGATCCAATGTCCATGGCTAGTACAATTTACAAATAGTTTTAGTAAGTACGGATTAATATTATTATTCTTTTTTATTCCAATCTAATTATTCTTTAATAAATATTTTAACCCTACATTTTAGTAAATACAAATTAATATTATTATTCTAATCTAATTATTCTTTAATAAATATTTTAACCCTACATTTTAGTAAATACAAATTAATATTATTATTCTAATCTAATTATTCTTTAATAAATATTTTAACCCTACATTTTAGTAAATACAAATTAATATTATTATTCTAATCTAATTATTCTTTAATAAATATTTTAACCCTACATTTTAGTAAATACAAATTAATATTATTATTCTAATCTAATTATTCTTTAATAAATATTTTAACCCTACATTTTAGTAAATACAAATTAATATTATTATTCTTTTTTATTCTAATCTAATTATTCTTTATTAAATATTTTAACCCTACATTTTAGTAAATACAAATTAATATTATTATTCTAATCTAATTATCCTATACATTCAAAATTCCAACCCTACATTTTATTATCCAAAACCCATATTTTAAACCCAACCCAATCCCCAACCCAAAAAACCCACATTCTAAACCCAACCCAAAATTAATATTTTAAAACCCAACCCAATTCCCAACCCAAAAAACCCACATTCTAAACCCAACCCAATCCCCCAAACCCTAAACCCACATTCTAAACCCAACCCAATCCCCCAAACCCTAAACCCCTAAGCCCAACACCCCACACCAAACCCTAAGCCCAACCCTAAACCCTAAACCTACCTCCTCTCTACACCCCTGCATTCCCCCCCGCCGCCCCCCCCTCCCCTTCATTCCCGCCGCCCCCTCCCTTTCATTCCGCCGCCGCCCCCACCCTCCCCCGCATTCCCGCCGCCCCTCCCTTTCATTCCGCCGCCGCCCCACCCTCCCCGCATTCCGCCGCCGCCCCCACCCTCCCCGCATTCCCGCCGCCCCCCCTCCCTTTCATTCCGCCGCCGCCCCCCCACCCTCCCCGCATTCCGCCGCCGCCCCCACCCTCCCCTTCATTCCGCCGCGCCCCACCCTCCCCTTCATTCCGCCGCCGCCCCCCTCCCATTCATTCTCCCGGAATTCTTTTCACCCAACCCAAACCCGAATTTTTTTAAAAATTCCACAATTACAACACCTATAATACTAGATCTATTAACGATTAATTAAATCGGGAAATAAAATTACAAATAAAACGAACACAAAATTTATAGGAATCGAAAATTAAAACATGAATTAAAAAGAAACGATTAAATCACACCAAAAAACACAACTTACCTCGATATATAGCTTACAAAATGCAAAAAATTGATGCCGAAACAATTCCGGCAACTCTCCCGGAAAAATCACCGGTTTCAATGGATTACGCCGGATATATGGTTCTGTCTGAGAAACATCAACCCGAAACGCGAAAATTTAATTTATGCACCCATTTTCGCGTTTCTAAAACGCGAAAACAACCAAGCTTTAAGTAAAATCGCGTTTCAGAAACGCGAATATATCAACCCTCCCTATTTTCGCGTTTCTGAAACGCGAAAAAATTACTCTCCCTTGTTTCGCGTTTCACAAACGCGAGAATAATACACACAATTTAAAATTTTAGTCGTTTATTCTTTAAGCCGAATATATGGTTATATTAATTTCGGTGATGACAAATAACTAATTTTCTTACCTTTATTGTTTATCAAATAACTAGTGCTTTATTCGACATGTATATATCCTATAGTAATAATTAATAATATTACTAAAATGAACTGCGACGTTTCGGTTTTACAAAAACATTACTAATATAAATTACAGAAACATCCAAACCAACATAGTAAAACAAATACAAACGCAAATGCGATTAACCTCTGAGGTTTACTACATGAATGTTCAAAACAATACAAAAAATACGAACACTAACAGAATAATCACTACGCTTCATCATCATCATCATCAGAATTGATATTAGGCACACCATGAATTCCATATGGATCATACAGTTTATCAATACCGGTCCTGTCAGCAGGTGGATGAGAAAAAGGGCATTCGACAGCATCATGATCTAAACTTCCACATCGTGCGCAAACTCTCGCATATGGGCAAGCCCTGGCATTATGGCCTTGTAGCTTACATAAACTGCAAGTTTGGAGTCTTCGCTGGCCAGATTTGCTTGTATAATCCATCACACCTTTTTTTCGATTCACACGCTTCCGACCTCGGCCAGCATGGTGGACAAGTTTAGTGTCATCTGGCCTGATCTGCCACGTTGCCTTTGGCCATGGTTCCATGATTGGGTTGAATTCTCCAGAAAACTGTTGGTACCATTGATGCGTAGTGTAACATGGATCAAAAAGTGGAAAGGGATCGTCACCTAGCTCACGGGCAACTCGAAGTGCATGGGAACAAGGAAATCTGAAAGTCTGCCACCTTCCGCAAGTGCACTCTCGATTTGCATACAGCACAACTTGCTTCTCGTCAGCCTTCCATGGTTGATTATCAGTCTTGTTGTAACCACTTCGTACTTCGGTTTCTCTTGCTAAACCGGTTGACCTTTGCCTCAACGATTTCTTCCGGGCCTCTTCATACAGTTTCATTGGAGTAGGAGGTAGAACAGTCTGACATTTTTGGATCATATCAATGTTTGCCTGAAACAGATTGTTGCTTTTTTGAAAGGATGCTAGGATCAAAGCTGTGATCGGGAAGAATCTAGCACCTTTCAGCACATTATTGAAACTCTCGAAATGTTAGTGGTCATTTCTCCCCAACGATACCCTCCATCGTGTAAACAGTCCATTTCTCAACACCCGACTTCAAGCCAACGAGCAGCAAGCTCATTTTTTTCTTCTAATTTTTGCCACTCTGCCAAGAACCTTGTCTTTTCTGTCGCTGAACCAATCATTTGACAGTTGCCTCGCAGTTTCTCCTTTCGAAAATGCCCAACCAAGTTTGCTTTAACATGCTCTAGACAATAACGGTGGACGCCCATCTCTGGGAATTTTTGCAACATGATGTCCATGGCAGTAAGGATACCCTGATTTCGATCAGAGATAATACAGGTCTTCCTATCTTGTAGAACAAACTTTTTCAAATACTTCAAAAACCATTTCCAGCTGTGTATAGTCTCTTCGTCCACAAGAGCAAATGCGATGGGAACAATCGTGCCATTTGCGCACTTTACGCATGCCACAATTAGTTTTCCTTTGTAGGATCCTCGCAGGTGAGTAGCATCGATGGTTATTACTGGCCAACAAGCATGAAATAAGCGTATAGATGGCCCAAATGCCCAGAAAACATACCTACATACAAACCTTTGTGAGCTTCCTGAATTTTCCTTAAACTTGAATTGCACACAAGTGTCCGGGTTTGACATGAACAATGCATTGAGGAAGCTGGGCAATTGTTGAAAATTACTTTCCCATGTACCATACAGAGCCTCAAGTGCTTTTCTTCTACCATGCCATGCCTTCTTGTAGCTACATTCGACTTGGTACCTCTTCATCACTTCTATTTGAATTTGGGCAACTGCAAAATCTGGATGTTTTCGCACATTTTGGGCAACCAGTCTAGCAATCATAGAAGACGTGACATTTCGGGACTCGTTTCTCTTGTTTGCCCCAAGACAGCTTGTGGGAATCGGACCATACCACCATTTTCCAAGTATCGGTGGCCTTCAGTGCGAAACTCGCGCCTTCCACAGACAATCATAGCCGTGAAGGCGCTCTTTCGGATATTTAGGTCCACACGTCTCGCATTCGACATACCATGTTCGTTTAGAGCTCGTTTTCACCCGGAAAGTCCGACCATGTACCAAGTTCCATTCTCCCACTGCCGCTTGTGCCTCAGGCTTGTTGGCGAAATGTATATCAAGGCCTAGCGTCAACGGATTGCCATCCCACATTTTAATTCCATCGTTTTCTACTTCCTCTAAAGTCTTGTCCCATCCACTTATGTCGTCGAAAACATATGGGACTGAAGAAGATGACTCAAAATCAGTGTCGTCATCTGAGTCCTCATCCGATGGGACGTACTCATCATCACTGCTTTCGACACCCCCGACATCTTCATCTTCATCTGCATCTTCATCTTTATCTTCATCTTTATCTTCATCTCCATCTTCATCTCCATCTTCATTGTCTTCAACTGTTCTACCACCACTAGTGCTGGCACCAATATCCTGGCCAGATGTACTTGCATAAACATGGCCTGTTCTCTCAACTTTTTCAGGGTACAATTCTGGCCATTTATCAGTACAAAGATAAATGAACCGAACAGTATTATCATCATTAATGTGCACACGATACCTTTTTCCGACCTCTCCGTCCATACCAAAGAAAAATCAATATAAAGCCCTTCTCTATCAACTCCGATCACACTTAATACCTTATCAACAAGTTCCGAGAAATCTAACATACGATCAATGATAAGATAACCGTCCAGCGCATCCCATTGTACCGTGATAGTCCCATCAGTTCGATTGTATAAGTAGTATTCCAAGATAATTTCGAATTTAACTGTCTCGTGAAAGACATTTGCGGGCTGCAAAATCAATTCCTACGAAATCGGTTTGCGGCCATAGTATTTACCCGTTCTGATTTAATAATTTTAAAATAACAACTATACGCCTGAATTTACAAATTCATTTGTATGCTCAAAATTAATATTAAATCTAAACCTTATGCCCGAATTACATAATTTATTCTTATGCTGTAAATATTCAAAATTCAATATCATTATTATAATTTTATTTTATTTTACGAAATCGATGTACAATAATTTACAATGCTCATCTAATTTAATATTCTATTAACTAATATTTCTTTCAATTTACTTTATCAGCCTCAATAAAAAACCACCGTTAATTGACTAAATCACAATTATATATTAACTAATAATAATGCGTAAATCATCCTATGCTCATAATAAAACATAAAAAAGTACATGTTTTTAATAACGAAATAAACTTACCTCAATGTTAAAACTTAGAGTTTTAAATAGGCTTCAGGACTCAAATCAATCTTCTTTAACCTCGGAGCAACTTCTCAATTTGAAGAAAATGAGAGTTTTCACGAATTCAGCAAGTCCTCCGGAGTAAAACTTAAAATCGGAGTTCAACAGAATGAAAGAAATTTGGAAAGAAAATTCGGAGCTGAACAATGAAAGAAATTTGCGGAGAAATGCTGTTAAAGCTTGTTTTATATATGAATCTTAAATTTCGCGTTTAACAAACGCGAATACATTCCAGACTTATCATAAAAAATACACGTGGAGACGGGTGAGTGGACGAGGAGATTTTCTGGATATTTTCGCGTTTTAAAAACGCTAAATATATTTTTCGCGCTTTAAAAACGCTAGAAATTTTGTTTCGCGTTTTCAAAACGCTAAATTTTTATTAAATTTACACTCTTAAACTTAAACTTACAGATTTTCGCATTTTTAAACGCGGAAAGCAAGTTTCTCGCGTTTTGAAAACGCGAAAAGAAAGTTTCGCGTTTTGCAAATGCGAAAACAAAGTTTCGCGCTTTGCAAACGCGTCTTACGTTTTTCGCGTTTGTAAAACGCGAAAAACCTATTTTTCTTTTTTTTTTTTTTTGCTTTCGACCCGTTTGAATCTGAGTGCATGAAATTAACATTATTCGCGTTTGTGAAACGCGAAATGTTAATGTAATTAGATTGTTTCGCGTTTTCAAAACGCGAGAAGATTACATTTGTCTACAAAATAAACCCTACACATTTTTTGTTCCACACTTTTGGGTTTGGCTCACCCAAAAGTCAAGCACCCTAGCTTACAGTCCATACCCACTCAAGAAGAAACACCTTGCATAAAATTAATATCGAAATCGAAGGAAACACAATATACCATGAAAAAGGGTTTCAGAAAATTGAGCAGTATATTATGGCCATTTTTGTATCTTACTGCTGCCATTTCTCCAATCAACAAACAAAGGCCTTGAGGGAAGGGAATGTAACAGTTGCCACAAGCGCCCATTATGATTTTGGAATCGTCACAGCAGACTAATGACCCGCCAACAGTAGTTCCCTAGTAAAGCTCCACTTTTCAATTGCTGAGATAAATTTCCATCCATTACCAATTCCTCCTTCACCACCACATTGATTGCTCCTTTCTTGTTCGATTTCTCATCTACAAATGGATTAGTCCTGTCCCTTTTGCCAGCTTCCTTTCCTTTGTACCCCTATGATCGAATTAACAATCATCGAAATCATTTACAAAACCCCACGAAATTCCTAAACAGAGAATTAACAAGAATCAATATATATATTTTTTCCTGGGTTCTAATTAATTGATGATTTATGTGAATAATAATCAATTTTACTGCTTGAGGGAGGAATTTGGAATCAGGAATTCTGGCTGCATCAGGGGTGTTTTCGAATTGAACAGGAACACTCCATAACTGAACAGAGCTCATCCAATTCTTCTTATCATCCCACACTTCTTGCGCACCTTTTTCATCAGAATTACCCTTCAAAGGCACGAGTTTTTCCTTCACCACATCTCTCCTATTCAGCTCCAACACTTCCTCTATCAACTTCAAAATAGCTTCAGAAAAATAAAAATAAAATAAACAAATTCAGTCAATCAAAACTAATATTTCAAACTTGATTCCGTTTGTTAAAGGGAACCAAAACCAAAACCCACTGGAAAAAAAATATTATTAAAGAAAAAGTGCAAAGATATAACAACTAGACGTTACGATTGGAAAGTTACAAAAAAACGGAACAAACACAAAGTAGTTTTAACATACGTTCCCTGGCAAGGAGAACCATTGAGAATTTGGTTTCAAACAGCTTGAAGGCCTAATGCCCTTTGAAATCTCCGGCAACGTGATCCGGAGGAAAAGCCTACATTAGTACACTCGCAAATCATACAGCAGGTTGTTCTCTGTCCCATAGAAGATGCAGAATATGTCATCCATCATCACCACAGTCCTAAAACAACAATTATTATACATACAAAAGAGGGTCAGGTATTCATTTATATTTATTTACAAGCAATCAGTCACAAATATTATTATAAAACTATAGTTAAAACGCAAAAATTATTTGACCAAATCTTGGCTATTGCTCATATTTATGGGATAAAGACATGAAATTTGTAAAAAGTTATGTCGGAATCAGATTCGAACCTGACACAGAACTGCCTCACATCATAATAGCTTCTGATCCAGTGAATCTCTCAAACACTCCCAACATCTTCACTTGTTGAGAGTTTTTTCACACACTCAAATTAAACTCACAATGTTTGTTGGATCCTTATCCGAGGGACCTCCAAACTCTGTAACGTAAAAAGAGGTCACAGATGATAATGATGATGCAAAATGAGGAAACGGGTGCGAAGAAGGTGAGGAACAACGTGTCAAGGGATGAACAAGCAGGTGGCAGCTGCCTCATTTACGTGTGTTGCTGTCAGAGCCTTCGGACTTCCTGACAAAAGCATCATCAAAACGTTTTCTTTTCCAACTACACGTCTCTAAAGAAAGCGGTGCTCTCTGAGATCGTATGAAGCTTTACATTAACTCATCACACAATTCTCTCATCAACTACATCAAAAAAGATGATCACATTGGGGCCTAAATTCCTATTTAAACATCAAAATCCAGGAGAAGAAGTAAATGGTGAGTAAAACTACTCCATTCCGAAAATCCAACACGTGCCCTTGTGCCTTCTTCCCTTGCTCTTGCCTTCCACCGCTAAAATGAATCAGAGAGATTACCAAAAACTCCATTAATGCTCAGCAACCAATATACAACATGACCGAGTGATTTTATGTCCCAGCTAAGAGAGTTAGCAGAAACATTGTTGCATTTGATTTATTTGATTACATTGCTCACTTAAATTTGCGGAATGGGAGATCATGAGAACTCAAATGCCATCAATCTCGGATCCAGAATTGCTCCAGATTGAAGCAAAAACATGGAGGATCAAACAACTAGAAGGCTTACTGAAGAAAGCACGGAGACTTCAGTCAACAAGGCTCTTGGGAAAGAAAAACAATCCGCTGATCCTGATGCAGAAGGGTCATGTTTTGATTGCTCAATCTGTTTTGATGAAGCTAAGGACCCGGTTGTAACCCATTGCGGCCACCTCTTTTGCTGGCGCTGCATCTATGAATGGCTAAGCTTTAGGAATTCAGTTCAGGATCCCTCGAAAGAGTGTCCAGTATGTAAGATGAAGGTGTCAAAAAACAGCCTTACACCGATCTATGGCAAGCTCTCCGGCGAAAAAAATAATAATGATGATGATGATGATCCAACTCTCCCTCCTAGGCCTCAGGCGAATCGTGTACCCACCTGGAAAGATGCTTTTCAACAGGCGGTCTTTTCAGTTCCAAGGAATAAAATACCTCATCGCTTTGGTCGTAAAATGGAGATGAATCCAGCAAGTGCACAAAGTATTGCCCTTTTTTCTTCACAGGTGATGCCTGATGGAAGCAACCCGCTGCTCAATTGGGTACTAACTTCAAAAGGAATGCGGAGACAACAGAATTATGTTATACCACCAAATGATGCAAATGATGTCAATTCTCCCTATCCTCAAACAGCAGAAGAAAGCTACACAAATTCAACAATATTTCCGGGTTCGAACTCAAATGGAGCTGGTAACTTTTCTTATATCAATCCTTCAGTTGGGTCGGGTTTTCCAAACAATCCTGCCGATATGATTCTTGGAAATCCGGGACAAGAACTGGATTTCCTTGGTGTTGAATATGTGAGTAATGATTTTTCATGCTTCTATGATGACCATGATGATATGAACTTAGACCAGATAATGGAATCTTTTGATGATGATGGTTTTATAGTTTCGGACATTGAGGATGATGAATGGTTCAAGTCCCTTAAGGTGGAGGAGGTTCGATAAGTTTCAGCCATGTTTATGCTTGTGGATGAAACTAATCTCTGAATATTTCATTTTTATGCTCTCAATTAATGTCCTGATCACATTTTCTGGGTGTGCCAGTCTCATTAATAGATTAGGAAAGTTGTTCTTTCCCTTTTTCTGGTTTTACTGTCTAGAAGAAGAGATGTAGATTCTTCATAAGCTGCATTTAAGCATTTGGCTTTTGATTACTTTCTTGTAAGAGAAACTTAAGTTCTATTATATGAATGAATTTCTTTAATTTACAGAAATCATTAGGGTGGCACTCTGTTGTTTATTTCGGAAAACCTCATTTTCATTCTAGATTAGAATATAAATTTGCTGAATATAAAATTTTTCACCGGATTTACTAAGATTTTTTCTATCAACTTAGAAACAGTTTTATTGTTTCTTAGTTTTTAGTACTTTGAATGAGTTGTCTAGCAATAGCTAATACCAGCAATAAAAGGTTGGGGGAAAACTTGTTCAGAAAAATTTTACGTGGGTTTTTGAATACTTGCTTAGAAGGAATTTGTGGATGAATTCAATAGCTTTTATGTAAATCTACACATTTTGAATGATTCAATTGCTCTAATTTTTTTTTCCCAATGGTGGTGTTGATTTCTCCCTGCAATTCTGAACAGTTAAATGTGCATCTCTGAAATGAATGGCTTATGTTCTTATGGAAAATCATCATACTAAATGGCCATATATAATTGGGTCTAAGTATTGGCACAATTGTATAAAGAGCTGGGTTCTGCACTTTCTCCTCGTGTTCTAGTTAATAAAAGGCCAATTGGAACTTGAAAGTAGTGTCATTCAATCTTCACCAAATTAGCGGAATAACATGTTTAATCAAAATCATACTACATGCGTTTGATCGAATACAATGAAACAGTCTTAGAAACGGTTTTATTGACCAAACAACCAAAAAATGAATGATGCAATTTACAAGTACACCTTCACGACGACCTATTAAACAAGATAATTCAAGAAATAAAAAAAAAGGGACTTTGCTATATTGTTTGACTTTGCTATATTGTTTTAGCACTACATTCCTGCTCCCTTTTTTTCTTCCTCTTTTTTTTTTTTCATTTTTCATGTACATTATTGCCAACCGAACTAAATTCCTGCTATATTGTTTGACTTTGCTATATTGGCTCTCGTATTAACTAGCCACAAAATTATTTTGACTTCCTTTTTGGTGGTCCCTTTTAATTCATTATTCTCCTTAGTCAGACGTAATTTTTTTTGTTGGTGAAAATGTAAAATATATTAATCACACAATTACTTATTTATTTATGTTTATTAATCACACCAACTAAAACCATTTACAAGTCTGATTATACAGATAATCATGATTTATAAAAATGGATTATTGAAAAATGAGATTCAACAAAAAAAATAATAAATTCTTTCCAGTATATCTAGCTAAAACGAAAAGCACTTAAAACATTGTTGCATTTGATTTATTTGAGTAAATTACTAACTTCATTTTGCAGAAAGGGAGATCATGAGAACCCAAATGACATGAATCTGAGATCCATAATTACTCGAGATTCAAGCGAAAACATGGGGGGTCCAACAGTTGGTACGCTTGTTGAAGAAGCACAGAGAATTTGGTCAACAAAGCTCTTGGGAAAGAAAAACATTCCGCTGATTCTAATGCAGAAGGGTCATAATTCAATTGTGATATATGTTTTGACAAAGCTAAAAACCCAATTGTAATCCATTGAGGCCACTCTTTTGTTGGCACTGTATTTATGAATGGCTAAGCTTTAGGAATTCAGCTCGTGATCCCTCGAAAGAGTGTCCGGTATGTAAGAAAACAGTTTCGAAAAATGACATTACCCCGATCTATGGCAGGAGTTCGGGAAAAAATAATAATAAAGATGATGATGATGATGATGATCCAGTTCTCCCTCCTAGGCCTCAGGCAAATCGTGCACTAACATGGAAAGATGCCTTCAAACAGGCTGTGTTTTTCAATTCCTAGGGATAAAATACCTCGGCGCCTTGGTCGTAAAATCAAGCTGAATGCAGTAAGTGCACAAAACATTGCCGTTTTTTCTTCACAAGTGATGTTTGATGGAAGCAACCCACTGCTCAATTGGGTTCTAACATCAAAAGGAATGCGAAGACAACAAAATTACATAATACCACCAAATGATGCCGATGATGTCAATCCTTCCAATTCTCAAACAGCAAAAGAAAGACGCACAAATTCAGCGAATTTTCCGGGTTTGAACCCTAGTGGAAATGGTAACTTTTCTTATATTAATCCATCAGTTGAGTCAGATTTTTCTATCAATCCTGCATATATGATTCCGAGAAATCTGGGACAAGAACTTGATTTCCTTGGTGTTGAATATATGAGTAATGATTTTTCAAGCCTCTATGATGACCATGATGATACGTATTTAAACCAGATAATGGAACCTTTCGAAGATGATGGTTTTATAGTTTTCGACATTGAAAATGATGCATGATTCAAGTCCCTTAAGGAGAGGGGGGTTTGGTTAAGTTTCAACCACGTTTATATATGGTTGTGGATGAAATTAATCTCTCAGATTTTTAATATTATGCTGCTCAATTAATGTCCTCAACTGATTCTCTGGACGTGGCATGATGGGGTGTCAAGCCACACAAATAAATTAACCTACTTCAAACTACTGTAATATAGGGAAGTAAGGTCGTATCCTCAGGGAACGATGGATTGTTTCCTTCAAATTAATGCAAAGGAGATTTTTGGATTATTTTTCTAAACTAAGATAATGAAATACAAATAACAAAAACTAAAAAAAGAAAAGAAATCAAAGTAATAGACTTCTGACTCAAGGGACGGATAACTCAATTATTTCATTAATCATAAGCTACTAAAACTACTCTTGCAATTTAAGCATTCAACCAAAGATCTATTAGGATAGCCGTAATAAATCAATTAATTATCCTAAATTAACTAACCAAGCCTAGCACTCAATTAGTCCTTATCATAATCTGGCTGGGTATGATACCGTTCCATGCCAAACAATGATAACACAAAAACCAAGGAAATATAGTTGAACAAAAACCTAAACAATTGAGATAGCTGCAACTATTCAGACTTTGTCTCATTGATTCCACATTTAAACTAACATGCATATTCAATGTCTTACCAATACACATGTTTTGTCTAATTGGTACACAGTACTGCCGGTTCTTGTTTATTACGTAACATTCAACTAGAAAATAGCACTAGAAAATAAATAACAAATCAAGTTGTCAATTTGAATGATATCTACTTTCATAACTCAATACAAGAATGAACAAATACTTAAATTATAGGGAAGAACAATAAATTAAGAACAAAACCTCATAATGGAATAACTGAATAAATCCCTTGAATCAAAAAGAAAATCCTTAGCCACTCATGGACGAAAACATGGTGGCTTTATTCTCCATGAAAATTCAAGAAAAATTAGAAGAAATAAAAGGTTTGAGGTGCTTAGCCTTTGCTTCACGTACGGCTGCCCTCTACAAGACTAATAATCTTTTTCTTATAATAAAATTAGGTCAGCCGCAAGAAAACAGCAAAAGGTGGACGAATTTCAGCTTTGGTCCCTCAACTTTGTAGCTTCTTTGGTTTTGCCCTAAAACTTCTTCAATTTTGTAAAAAGGTCCCTGGACGTCCAGATTTGCCCAAAACAGTTCCAATCTTTTATTTCCAGCTCCTAACAAGAAATAATAATAAAACTAATGAATTAAATCCATCCAAGTCCATTTACTAGTAAAATATCAACAATAGAAACACAATTTATGGACTCTATCAAATTCCCCCACACTTAAAGCATGATTGCCCTCAAGCATTAAAGAACAAAGTAATTCTAAACTTTCTCTTATTTAAGATGCGCCTTAGAAGCTCTAGCACTCAAAAGTAATCATGGTAACAACGAAACAAAAATCCACAAACAAGTCAAATACATTATATACTTTTACCGTTTAGCCCTTTGTGTTTGTGTGTGTAAACCGCTCCCTAGGGACATCACTGTAACACATAGCATAATATACAAAAATTCAAATGCAAATATGGCACTGAAGAGTGTACTTAAGATCCCCAATTCAGATCGTACTTCAATGCAATATTACTCCTACACATATTATGAAACCGAAGGCTTACAATTACACCTCACATAATACAATTCAACGCACTTCTCTCGTACCCATTCTTCGGTGTCCATATGGCTTTTCTTCAGGATCTTTCCCACTCAGGCCCCTAGCCAGAGCATTTTTCCATTTGATTTATGTAGTGATTTACATATTGGCTCATCAACTTAGGACAATCTACTTACTCATATTTTCTCACTGACGGGCCTGAGGACACTCCGCTAGTTGTTTGCCAGACTTATCACCTATCAATGGGCTAGCATCAACATTGAATGCTCTTCCTTTTCTCCCTCTTTAAATTGTACCTAACCTCAGAAAAGCATCCACCAACAACCCCTCCCCCGCACTTACTTAGCACAAAGTACTTTAAGCAAGAAGGTAAAAAGGCTATTTTCAAACCACCACTCCCCCGTTTTCGAGTTTGAAGTGATGATAGGGTTAATGCCTTATTTTGGATTCCATAATATAGTAAGGTCCCACATACATATGGTACAAATACTGAATGAATCAAATCAAACTTTGGCATATCACATGAATGGGAAAATGGGTCTTTTCATCCCAAAGTTTGGGTCACACTATCCAAAACATCCCAAAGTTTAAGAACATGCCATTTACATCCCAAACGTTTTAAAAACATGTTACATTAGGATATTCGTTAAATTTTTAACTCCAGTTAATTAATTAGTGGTGGTACTTTATTCTGTTTCTCCGCCCCCAATTCTTTTAATCATTTAACATGTTCCACTAACTCCCACCTTATAAGAAAATAGCTAAACCTAATTTGGTTTTCACATCATCCATTCTTCCCTTGCTTAGAAAAAGAAAAAAAAAATCCAAGATTCACCTTCTAGATTGATAACAATAATGAGAGGTTTTGTGTGTTTCCTAATTAGAAAGTAAGCCCTATTTCATTTATTTTTTTAAATATGTAGCATCATTATAAAAATTGGTGTTGTAATTGATGCAAGGGCATGCAACTTTTTTATTTGACATGGACCAAATTTAGCAAACGCAAGCATGAAATTTTTTTTACTAAAAAAATGGGAGAAAAGAAACTGAATGAAATATCGCTGTTAATAATTTGAAAAAAATTAACAAATGTCCTAATATTACATATTTTTGAAAAGTTTGGGATGAAAATGGCATGCTTTTAAACTTTGGGATGTTTTAGATGGTGTGCCTCAAACCTTGGGATGAAAAGGCCTATTCTCCCTCACATGAATTTAGCAACTACACATACATGTTAAGTTTATCCCAGAATTATGGCTAAAGTGCGCAAGTAAAGTATTCAGGGAATAACACATAATGCACAGACTCGAAAGAAATTTTTGTCCCAATGTAATTAGATTTCTTAGAGTCTCAAGTTAAATTCATCATTGGCTATTTCTGGTATTTTTCATTTTTTTCTGGTTTTTTTTTTCATTTTTCAATTTTTTTTCTTCTTTTATTTTATGAAAACATGCAAAAACACACAAAAGAAAATAAGAAAACACACAAAAGAAAACAGAAACCCCTCCCCCACACTTAATGTGTACATTGTCCTCAATGTAACTTATTGCACTACAAAAGAAGTAAACCAAGGAGCTAAGCACGACTTCATAGTGTGGGATACAACAACACATTTAAATTCAATTCACTCAAATTCAATCCCCACGAAACAACCACTAAAGGCACAAATCAAACTCAACCATAGCAGCATAGAAGAAAAAATATTCAAACAAGTTGAGACTTATAAACATTGATACTCTCAACACCAATTCAAAAACAAACAAACTCCAAAGAAGACCATCATCAAAACGGCAGCAAAAAGAATTAAATCGGAACTTCTATAAAAAGATGGAGTTAGAATCTTCCCTGGAGAATGTTTTTCGCAATTGAAAGTGCTGAAATGGAAATTGATAGTGTGAAAAACTTGTTGATAATTCATCTCCAAGACTTGACGGATGATGGCTGAACTGAGCGAGATGATGGAAAACGCGCGCGTACAGTAATAGAAGTTATTGGCAGCGACACCGACAAGCATTGTGGCCGGCTAACAAACGGTAGCAAACTGTGGCTTGTTGGCAACAGTAGAGCGCTGAAAATTGGAACAATGTCGGACGGAATTGATTAGCACCAGTGGCAACAATCTGGTCGACGACGGAACTTTGGAATAGCAGCAGCAACAGCGAACACCGACGGCAGTAGGGAGTTAGAACGGCGGACAACAATGGATTGGAGCTGATGATGGCCGTTGACTAAATCGTCGTTGATCGAACGCCGGTGAGAAAGATTTCTGGTTCCTGGGGGAAAGAAAAAAAAATGTAAAAATCTTTTCTGTATTTTTTTCGGATTTATGATTTTTTTTATTATATTTTTTTTTAATGAAAGGAGGGAAGCGGTCCTTAGGCATGATCATGTGTAATGAGGGGTTGGAATCTGCCCTCCAGAAAGAAAAATAATTAAAAGAATTCAAACCTTCTATTTTCTTAGGCATGATCATGCCTAAAAAAAATAGCATTCTCATCAATTCCAACGAGCCTAAAAAGCACTTACATGTGATCACGCTTAAGAAAACACCTATTCCTCAAAAAACAAAACACTAAATAAACACTAAAATTTTAACTCCAAACAATAAAACAAATAAACTAATCAAACACAACATCAATAGAAAAAAAAATTTGGGTTGCCTCCCAAACAGAGCCTTTCTTTAATTTCTTTGGCTAGACCAATTCCATGCGTCTCAAGGTGGAAATTTTGAAACACCACCTAACAACGGTAAATAAAATCCTGAGCAACATTCAACAAAGCCAAAGTTAGACGGACCAAATTCATATTTTGAATCGACAAAATGAGGCGAAAAGTAGTCTCCTCTAACTGATTCCTTGAACACTCCAGATCTATCTAGATTTTCTAAAATCGAATCTATCTTTAGTCCTATTTTAGGAGGTCGAGGAAGATGCCCATATGCACAATCTAGAGATATAGGTGGCGGTTTTGACTCTAGTATTGGAGATTTCCATTTATCAATTATATCAGCAATAGAATATGGTAGAGTAAGTATACCTGGATCATTGCATTTGGAAGAAAATTTTGATTGTAACATACCAGATATATCTTCTCCAACTACTACCTCATTCTTGGAAAAGTTCTTCATCACTTTCTGTTTGAGCTCCTCTATCTTTGGCTCTACTGACATATCTGAAAAAGAAGTATCAGCTGCATTAGTTTGACTAAATAAAATGGAAAGATCAATTATCTCATTGTCGTCCAATGCCTCTGATTCATTTTTCTCTACTTCCATATGTTTCAAATCTTTTGCATTTTGAGTAGGTACAGTCTCCACACCATAAATCTGTTCTATGAA